GAACTCCTCCTAAACGGTTGGACCGATTTGAATGATTTTTTTTGTGTGCGGTTGGGTGACGCCCCGGATTGTTTAGATTCACAAATCATCCCCCTAGGTCCAACCAGGGGATGTGCTCAAACAGTGATTTAGAGATTTAAGGTGGAAATTTTCGTTTATAAATGGTTGCCATGGGTTTTATAACTATTATAATAATAATGATTGGTTGCCGTGAAATCGATGTATTCATTCAATGCATTTAATTTTTTTGTACGCTGTGTCTTAGAGTCAAATTATAAAGTTATGTACAAACAGCACGGGGTCCCGAATCTACCGCAAGTAGATTGCCTACCTGATAATATACTGCTACGAATCAGAATTTTTATTCCAGACAACAGAAAAGTTAAGATAAATATTGAACACTATACACCGAATATTAAATAACGAATTGAACAAAGTTTGAGTCACATAGAGTTTGTACATTTAACGGGAAACGAAGTGCACGGGATCAGCAGGAATATTATATTATTTTATGGTGTTAAAAAAGAAAAATCATTTTCGAGTTCGACAATTATACCTATGTCTATGTAATATTACAGTAGACGCCGCTTATAAGACTCACGTATATAAGGTTCAATCGCTAATTAGACTCAAAATCGTCTGGAACGGTCCGGACGTATCCAAATAAACTAAAAAAAAAATCGGTTATAAGACTCAACACTTCGGTTATAAGACTCAAATTTCATAAAATAAATAGTAGAAAATAAACTTTTTTGGTTATAATTTAGAAATAAATTGGCATTGAAAAATTAAATAATATTATTCGTGTTGATTATTTCTAGTTTCTGATGGTACTTTATAATGTTTAATAAAATAAATAATAAATACATTATAATATGTAGGTACATACATCCTTTATAATTTTTTATTAATGTATAATTTTTATAATATTTTTTTATGTAATATTTACCTATTACAATTTTAGTTTTTTTTATCAGGATTATTAAATTTATTCAATAATGAAGTATGTAATATGTAATATGTGTTAAAGTATTAAAATCAAAGCGAAAAATGTAGTAAAATAAAATTTATAAATACTTAATTAATTTTTTTTTCCACTTCGCCTATAAGATTCATTCGGTTATAAGACTCACTTTGTGCTGGTCCCAAAGTGAGTCTTATAAGCGGCGTCTACTCTATATGAATATATCTAGGTATATAAACTGTTAATTGTCACATGTGAACACCGAACATTATTATAAACGTACACATACATTTGTATAGTCCGTATATAGACGTGTTTAGTAATCATTTCTTCTCTCGTAAATAAGCAGCTGATGAAACGGTATTTATGAGAAAATTACCTGCCCGTGTTTTTAATGAAATAAAAGATAAGTACCTATACCTGGCTACCTATCATGATCGTCGATCACCATCACCACTGCCATTCTCTCACAGCTGTCGTTCCGACGTTCTGTACAGAAATTAGATGTGGTTTGTAGTGTTCCATACTATCCATTTGACATTTTGTTGTTAAAACAATGCATACCTAGGTACAAATCAATTAATTCATGAATAAGAACTTCACGTTAAGTTGGAATTACGTGTATATCAAAATCATAGACAAACAATATTTTAATTGACATGACGGTGATGATTTTGATGGATGAACAACATCACCATAGTGGCATATAGCTATTGAGGCTGTATAATTAGTTCTAATAAACATATGAAAATATAAAACTAATATTTTTATAAATTTTACTTTAAGCTACCTACCTATTTTACCTATTAAAGTGTGATCATTGCATTGGACGATCATAATACATTGTTAAAATAAAATACGGAACTATAGGCAAGCTTACGAAGAATAAAGTATAAACAGGAAATGTGTACCTACGTATAGGGTACATACATGAAATAAACGTAATTTCGATATAATTATGTAACATCAACTTACCAGTGGTATTCAGCAGGCCCGTATACAGGGGGGGTTAGGGGTTCAACCCCCCCCCCGAAATTTTTAAAGTAGGTATATATTTATAATATAGGTAACAAAAACTAACTACATACGTCTTTGAAATATTTTAAACCCCCCCCCCCCCCCCCGAAAATTGATCCTGGATACGTGCTTGGTATTCAGTATAATTAGGGTGTGTTTACGGGAGGTATGGCCGTATGGGGACGGATCCCACCTATATTGACCTTTTTAAAAATAATTTTTTGAATTTTGAGAAAATATTTGTTCATATAAATGGTTATTTTTATAAACCAGAAAATACACGTCCGCAATAGTTAACATTCAAATGTTTTTAAGACGATCAATGGTAAATAATCATATTATTAGGTACTAATGATGATTCTGAGATATAAACATCGGATATTTTAAAATTCACCTATACCTACACTAGGCTAGGTATTGTATTAAAATATATTATGTACAATGTACATTATATTTAATAGGTACTACACCACTACTATATTATATAATATGTCTATTGTATATATATACAATTAAATTATTAAAATGTAGCTATTTAGGCTTATAGCCTAATTAGCCGGACGCTCTCACACGGGTAAGAATAGTCAGAATAGAATACATCGGTTTGCCTCATATTATGCTATGTCACTAGAACATCAAAATAATCTATGGATTAATCGCAGATAAATATACTATTTTTATTCTGTTGGCAATAAAAATAATTCTTTGTAAAGTCCCAACAATTTTTTCACAATATTAGTAGGTATAAATGCGTATAATCTTAATATAATAAATCAATTAATGATTACCTATAATTGGATTTTGTTATTTAATATATTATAATATTAAATAACAAAATCCAAATGTCTTTTCATATTGTTACTAAATGTTACTTTTTCCAAAATGGTCAATGTTTATATAAAAACCCTATGAAAAATGAAGAAATCCTATGTCTGGGGATTGGTAAAGGGGGGAGGCTGGACAACTATGCCTCTTCTGGATCCATCCCTGGTTAAAAGCTTAGAACATGTAGGTAGATAGTAGGTAAGAGGTATCTATCTAAACACAATGGTTGAACCTATTTCTTCATATGTATTTTGTTTTATTCTTTTGTTTCGGAAATTGTTTTAAATTTCAATAGCATCAGTAACACGAGGATTAAGCCATGACAAAATAAATATTTAAATTTTAAAAAGGTATGTTTATTTTATCATGGATTAGGGCATGAAGCATGCAGAGGGTTAGCCCCCTCAAATTGTTCAGAATTCAACTCCCCCCCACGAAAAAAAATATATACCAACATAACTTACTATGTTTGATGATTTTTATTATTGTAGGTCCTATTCATATAATATTTATAATTTTACAGTAATGTTATACCTAATTCTTAAATTATTTTTAATCGATTCTAGTTTGGTATATTTTTGAATTTAACTATTATAAATGAAAACATTTTATTTTTAATAATCAATAAAAATTTTAAAGTCTATTAACTTTAGATCTTAATGTTATAGAAATATACGTATATTATGCTAACCTACTGCTAGCTTCATTGGGGGTCTATACTCTATACTCCTTTTCAAGAGAATATACCGCTTTCGAGCATGTCGAATGATTCGATTGGTGCGTCAGAACCACATGATCAAGCTAATAATGGGAAATTGGTGGGGAATGCGTGCCTTCGTACATAAATTGGTCTTCGAACGGTATATTCTCTTTTGAAAAGGAGTATAGTCTTGATACCCATACACTAATCTACCTCTAGTACCTACTCTAGGGCCTAGGCACTAGATACTAGTGCATGGGTATGGTACGTCTCAGGTATCAAGTTATGCACACCGCAGAATTAATCTGCACTTGGCACTCATTACTCATTAGGCATGTATGTCAATCAATCTCCTCCAGGCATACAGTTCAAAACAAATAACTGTGGTACTGTGGTAGGCAATTCAGGAGTAAAAATGCATTACGTTTGTAGACATAATATGTGATGCATAAAATAATATTAAAAACACAGGTAAATAATTAAATTATTACTAAATTTTTAATATTTATTAATAACAATTTATTTAAAAAATCTTGAAAAGTTTATAACTAACTTCTATAAAAATACATTTTAATCTTTGCCATAATTTTATAGCAATTGGTACCTAATATAAATATATCTATGATAAACAATATGAAAAAAATCACAACATTAACATGTTTACAATCTATATATTATATAAATGCTACGAAAATTAAATTTAAATTATTATCACAATAAATCTTACTAATTAAATAATTTGGACAACATCTAATACCGATATTATAAAAAATATATTGTAAAATAAATCAATAAATAATAATTTTATACCATGATAGATAATTGATATTATTGATAATTAATAATTATAGAGGGTGACTATTTGTTTCGGATTTTACTGGTTTAGGAACTCGTACATCAGTATCCCAAAGATGTTTATAAGAACTCGATGTTGTAATTGTGGTTTGAACATTAAAACTATAGTATTATATTTTCCCCGAATAAACTATAATTAATAATTATACTTGAGTAAAAAAGGTTTTAACATTATTTTTATTTTTTGGTTGTCAAATATTAATCAGTAATTTTTTAATCAACAGGAAAGTAATCACACGAGATACAAGAATATGCGTATAATAAAATTAATACATACAAAATGGTAAGATATAGTAAAATAATTAGGTGAAGTTGGAATTAACTGTCCCAGATAAAAAATTTAAAATATAACTGGCCACTCTATAATTATTATAGAAAAATAAAAATACTTCTGACTAGATTTGAAGTTTCTGAGAATAAATATAATAATAAAATATTTACTTTTCTTATCTTTCAATTCATAAATATTTGAACATACCTAATAAACAATATTAATATATTATAATTTATAGAAAACAATATAATTGTTCCAACGTTTCATATTTTTAGTGATCAATAATTAATCATTTTGCATTACTTTTAAATTTTAACAGAAATATTGCAACAATTATATTATACCAACACATTTTATTAAAATACCTAAGCCTCGGCAGCACATTTAAATTTGATTGGTAGCAAAATTTTTACTACAGAGCCAGATATTTTAGTACCATAGTGACCAGCCCAAAACTGTGTGTCTACTCCAGAATGATATAGTATTAAGTAAGATGCATTGCTCTGATTTTTGAATGAATGTGATGCCTAAAAAATAATGTTTAATAATAATGTTATTAGTATGTTTTAAATCATAACATTATAGATATAAATTATAAAAAAAGAATACAAACTTTTGTCCAAATATTATCCCCCCACTGAGGTAAAACATCATTGTAATTGTGTTGTTCTATTAGTTCACCATTTCCATCAAAAACAGTAGCTCTTAATACATATTTGCATCCACAATCAAAGCGACTATTATACCTGCAGGTAATTTTAATTTATTATTTGATGTAAATAAAATATCTTAAACTTATGTATTACCATTCACTAACTGAAATTTCAGGTTGAAGAGTTTTCATCACAGTATCATTCAAACCATAATTTTTGAATATAATTCTTTGACTCTTGGAACATAATCGAAACGATGATACAAAACAGCTTGTATGCCCATCAAAGTCAGGATCATCAGGTAATAAAGGTGATCCTTGTGGTGTTTGTTCAATAATCCACAAACTATGATCATATCTTTCCCAGTGTTTGTATTCATCTGTATTTAATATAAAAATTGTTACGGGGATTTGAACACTAAATAATTTTGAGTTCTGATCAGAACTGGGGTTATTTTACAATGTTTCAACTTACTTTGTCCACAATGGTTTTTCACTAAATTTCTATTGAATGGATCATATTTGCATATAACATAAAACACGTACCATGGCAATTCTAGTTTTCTGATACTAGATGATTCAACTTGGGAAAAACTGTAGTACCCTCGACCGTTATTCACAAATTCATTTTCTCGTGAAGCTTTTTCTTGAAATACATATGCATCTATAAGTTCTCGCCATCTTTTGCACACAAGTCTGCAATCCAAAAGGGTGTCTGCATCGATAAAGCTTAGTGTGTTTACAACCATTTCATCCGGTAGTAAATCAAAAGGTTTATGAGAATTTTTGAATACATCCATCATTATAATTTTAATAATCAATAATATGTTGACAACTTTGACATCGAAAGAAACAAATATAATATACTAACTTTGAATACTAAGCTATAGTTAAACAATAAACGAATAAACATTATCAAAAAATCATAATTTAAAAGCCAGCTGGTTGCATTATAATTAACAATTATTGAAATTCTATGTTACAAACTTTTAACTTTTATGCGTTATAGATTACTTATATTATGATTTATAGTTAATAATGATTAATTATTATTCTCATACATTTTAATTTATAATACGTAATAAAAATTGTGTGTTGGAACTTGGAATATTATAATTTATAATTTATATTATCTTGCTAATTGTTATTTGCATACGTCTGTTCGTCTGTATACAATAATATGCATATTGCCTTATCCTGTGTTTGCTACATAATTCTTATCTTTGTGATAAGAAAATTATTTTTGATAATTTAAATGGGAATTTTTCATAGACATAAATTTATTTAGGATATTTTACTCAAAATCGGTTATCATCCAAATTCCAAATAGATTTTGATTTTTACTTTTTGAATATGCAGTCCCGCAGTCGAAATAATGCTTTGGAGGTGCACGCTAAAAATTAGGGCCCTCAATAATTTTGAAAACAATTATAGGTAGATACAGGCAAATGTCTTAAAGATATCAAATGCACTAAAAATATTTATTTTATTTTATTATTCATTCTAATAAATATTACATAACAATGTACAAAACAATCCCATAATGATAATCGACTTTTAAACATTTTTGAACTCGTCAACAATTTCATCAATTTCATTTACACTTAATTAATAATTAGGGTCCTTGTCGTTTTTGGTGAAGGGTCCCCGGAACCCAATATGAGCACGCCTATGATAGTTGGTGCATTCGGGAGGTCAAAATTAAAAATTTCAGTAGTTTCCAAAAGGAAAAACGGGAACCTAGGAATTTAGACGTGCTTTCATTACAATGTACCGAATGGTCTAGTAAAGCCATAGAATTCTAAAAACAGATTTGAATTTGTCGTCAAGTCTACCTGAGATCGACTTTCCCAGATTATTAATTTTTTGATTTTATTTTCTCCAAAAACTTAAATATTTTATTTCCTTTTTTGGTACGAATTTTTTTGAGTATTTATGGGGATACAATTCATTTTTGAATGTTGATCTCAATTAGATATGACGACCAATTCAAATATGTTTTTAGAATTCTTATCGCTTCATTAAATTCCTATGCTCCACGTGTGACAAAGACAGAAAATCACCGCTTCCAAACCCCTTAACCATTTTTCATCGACATTAATCGAATAAAAATCGAAAAATTTCATAATCGGTTAAAAACTTGAAATGTAGGTATAACAAGATTCCTTGTAAGTTGTTGTAGGTTGAAATTAAGAAAAAGTTGAAGGAAAGTCTACATTGATTTCTTATGAGCATCTGAAGTTAAAAATTAAAAAAAATTCGTAAAAATAACGAAGATTTGCAAATTATTTTGAGTTAGAAATTCATACAATTTTCAAGTTCGAATTAAGCATAGTGGTAATATAAATTTAATATCATAAAATATAATATCTACTTAGTAATAATATAAGCTGACAGAATTTGCTGAATCAGTGACTTTAGGAACTTGAAGATCTGTATGAAGAGTGTGGTTTGAATTTTTGAAATATATGAGGGATCATTGGTTATGACTTATGAGTCAAGGGATTTTTGATGGAACACTTGTATTTTTCGTGTGTTTGATATTTTTGGTGTGCCCCAGACTTGAATACCATAGAGCTAGATAGGTTTAAGTAGAAGATTATAGATGTGGATTTTGGTTTTGAGGGATAACTTTGAGAACTTACCGAGAATGGGTCTGAGAGAGTAAAGTCGTTCATTTAATTTTAATTTTGTTGTATGGGTATGCTTAGCCCATGTTAGACCTAAATATTTGGCTGTGTCGGAATATTAAAATAAAGATTTTATTTTAATTTTAAAGTCAGTTTATAGCTACAGAACCTATAATTAAATATAAGCCAATAATAACAATAATGATATACAGAATTAGCTCTTTTATTTAAACATAAATAAATCTTAACTAATGTGAGGAAAAACTATAAAAATGTAAAAAAAATTATAGTTATAAGTGGCCGCATAAGCTGCCATTCACTTGCGCTAGAAAACAAGTTCATGAAAACCTGAAGTAGCAGATGTAGACGTCCCTTGACTTGGAACGGTTGAAGCTGGCCGCATAGCAGATGACTGGTGATTATTGAGTCTGCGTGGAGCCAAATATTCAAAATTACTTTGTGTTTGTTGAGATATCATTTTAGATAGATCGCATGGCATAGGATCTGTCCAGAAGAAGTCGTGGTTTAAAGCTGAATCGGCATCAAATCTCTTGGCTGGATCCAATACCAAGAGTTTATCTAATAGATCACAACCCATTGGATCACGCACGTAGGGCTTTAATCGTTTCTTCACCTGCAAATTAAATAATTAGTTAATCATTAAAAAAAAACAAATGAGTACATTTGAATAATAACCTTTCGTTTTTGTCCTTTGACTAATTCCAATTGATTGTATAGATCTAAAGATTCAACTTTGGCCAGACTTCTGGACTTATTGAACCACATAGTTGAGAAATCAAAGTTAATTGTTGTTGCTCAGAATTACCCTGCATAATTGGACTACGAGTCCACATTTCAGCCATAATGCATCCAGATCCCCATAACTCCACAGGCGGACCATAATTACGATCGCCAAGCAGCAACTTGGGAGGTAGATACCATAATGTTACGACTCGATTAGTATACCTAAAATATTATTATTAATGTACATTATGTGGAACAGTGATTTATTAGGATTAAATGTTTTATTAATTGTTGTTATTGTTAATTTATAGATATGGATTAAATAATAAACTTAAAAAATACTTATAAAGACTTATTATAATAAGTCATATATTAATTATTAACATGTTTTATTAATTTTTTTTAAGTTACGAATGTACTTATATAATTTAATTGGATAATAGAATTATTTTATTTTATACTGATATCAATTTAGTTAAAACCTTTTATTTCAGTTGACGCATGTAGCATATTATATTTATATTATATTATATATACATATTTTTGCTCTTCACTCGTTTATATTAAAATGTGATAACCTGACGAAAAAAATGATAATAGCCAATTTATAGGATTTTTAAAATTAAATAAACCTATCAAAAATGAGAATTTCAAAAGAATTTACATGCAATTCAATTTTTTATATTCGGGTACACCAAAATGTATTTATTTTAGTAATATATAATACAGGCATATAATATATTGAAATCATTACTCCGTATATCAATAAATGTTTTGCCGACTGCCACCCTGGCCATATAATTTATTAAAAAAATGATTAGAACTAATAAGTAAATTAAGTAACGATTTTTTTTTTTTTGATAATAATTATTAATTTATAGAATTTATGGAACAGGTTGAAAACAAAATTTCACATTAAAAAAATATATTTAGCCTGATAGTTAACTATAGTTTAAAAGTGCTTGGCAATGGAAAACTTAAATTAATTACTTCATAGATACTGAAAACATTTTATTTGTTTTTAATTAACTAAACATGATAATATTACCAATTTGCAGGTTGACCATTTATCTGAGCACTGAACGCTCTAGCAAGACCAAAATCAGCTAATTTTAATGTCCCAGTTTTTGTGATCAAAACATTTGCTGCTTTCATGTCACGATGAGAAATCTAATACATCATACATATAACATAACATGGGTTTAGATTGTCACATATGTTCACAGTTATAAAAATATCTTTATTGTTAGTAGCTATAATAATATATACATTGTTGCTGTGTAAGTAGTCGAGACCATTGATCATTTGTTGGATTACTTGCTTAAATGCTCCAATATTGAACTTCACCTTAGTATTTGATAGCAGGCCTGCCAAATCATGTTCACAGAATTCAAACACTAAATAAAATGTAGAACGATAATGTTTAAACTAAGCGGCTTTAAAACATTTTTATGGGATATTACTTTAATAGAAATATAAAAATATTTGTTTAAATTATAATTACCTCTAGTTTGACTGGTTTCCAATAGACTTACTACATTATCGTGTTTTAATAGTTGTAATATTCAAATTTCTCTTAGAGCAGTAATTGGAAACTAAGATTGATTAAAAAATATATATCAAAATGAATAGTAATATTTTATATAATAATAATCAATAGGTACATATATATTTTTAAACATTATCTACAATATATATATATATAGATATGTTTTTGGGCTGGGTGCAACTTTTTTTTCTAAGCGATTTTTTTTTTAATAACTATGTTATCAGCATAGAGACTCAAATCAATAAAGAAAATATGAAAATATGAAAAATTAATCTTTATAATTCAATAAAGTCCTAACAAAATGTAGCATGCTTCTAGATATTATTTTTCCACTTCACTATACCCAAAAACGTGATTTCTCAGAGAAAAAATTTCTAGTAACATGCTACATTTATTTTTTTAAATTATTGAGGGTTTGGGAGAGCTTAAGTTATATCGAATAAGCTTAAAAAAAATGTAAAAATATTTGCCTCTAAATCTCTCTCCCTATTTGCTCCTAGGATCATTACTCATCAGTCTGAAGCGACATCAAAACACTAAAAACAAGTTTGCTTAGACATAAAGTATTTCATTATCCAAGAAATATGGCAATACAGGCATTTGAAAATTGCGAGCGACATCATAGAGTCCAAGTCTGAACAGCGGTATATGTTTTACAACTAAAAATCTCAGAATTAATACAACAATTTCAATATTTTTTTTTATGTAACCTCAGTGTCTTTTCTATGTTTATATTTTCAAGTATCAAGTTATGAACAGTTAGTCTGCACATGGCCCTCGTTAGGCATCTCCTCCAGACATACAGTTCAAAAAAAAAAAAACAACTGTGGTACTGTGGTAGGCAATTCAGGAGTAAAAATTCATTGCGTTTGTGGATATATGTGATGTATAAAATAACACTAAAAACACAGGTAAATAATTAAATTATAACTAAATTATTAATATTTATAATTAACAATTTAATTTAAAAATCTTGAAAAGTTTATACCTAACTTTTATAAAAAAAAACATTTTAATCTTTGCTATAATTTTATAGCAAGTGGTACTTAATATAGTAATATAAATATATCTATGATAAAGAATATGAAAAAAAAATCACTACATTAATATGTTTACAATTTATGCATATAAATGCTATGAAAATTAAATTTACATTATTATCACAATAAATCTTACTAATTAAATAATTTGGCCAACATCTAATACCGATATTATAAGAAATATATTTGTAAAAATAAATCAATAAATAATAATTTTATTCCGTGATAGATTAATTAATAATTATACTTGAGTAAAAAGGTTTTAATACTATTTTTATTTTTTGGTTGTTAAATATTAATTAGTAATTTTTTAATGAACAGTAAAGTAATCACAGGAGATACAAGAATATGAGTATAATTAAATGAATACATAAAAAATGGTATGATACAGTAATATTATCATACTTTATACCAAATAAGAGAGCACTGGGTGGCGCACAAAAACCGGTCAAACTCATGCATGACAGACAGCGCTACCGACAGGGTAGTGTCGGCAGCGAATACGGCCGACTAAAGGGCTGTAGTAAGGGCGACCAATGACAGAGCGAATCGACCCAGCCAGGGGATCCGGACGTCACTCCGCGATTCATTTGGATGTGCCAACAAAGTGCGCTCTTATTTGGTACAAAGTATAAGTGAAGTTGGAATTAGTTGTCCCAGATATAAAATTTAAAATATAATCTGGCCACCTATATATAATTACTATAGAAAAATAAAAATATTTCAGACTGTACTCTTTTCAAACTGATCAATAATTATTAAGTTGCATTACTTTAAAATTTTAACAGAAATATTGCAACAATTATAATATATCAACACATTTTATTAAAATATCTAAGCCACGGAAATATATGAGTGTCTACAGATTATATTCTCAAACCTTATATTATATTCTTATTTTTTTGGTGGGTATGGGGGTGCAGTCACCTCTCCCCTGGATATTCCCCTGTTGTGCAAGACCTGCGAATAGGGTTTGGACACATCTATGCTCGGCAGCATTTTTAAATTTGATTGGTAGCAAAACTTTTACTTCAGAGCCAATCATTATAATATTAGTATCATAGGTATTAGCCAAGACTCGTGTGTCTAGTCCACAATGATATACCATTAAGTAAGATGCATTGCCCAGATTTTTGAATGAATGTGAAGCCTAAAAAATAATGTTTAGTATTAATTGTATTATAATGATTTAAATCATAACATTATAGATATACAGTGTGTAAACGGTAATCGAGAACACTCAATATCTTTGCGTAGAGACCTGCTATTTGAATTCCGTTTTTTTGGCAGTTGTTATGACATAAAAATACACATTTTTATGGTCTTTGAATTTTTTTTACTTAACTAGTCACGCGCATGCGCATGTCAACTTTTTTTTTTTAATGGCAACCCCCTGCTTTAACCACTAATTATTTTTTGCCTATTTTTTTAATGAATTTTGGTAGTTGAATCAACTTTCTAAGTCCAAAATTGACCAAGTTACAGCCAATCAAAAAAAAAAAAAAAATTAGAAAAAAAAATGCGCTCGAATTTCAGATTTTTGATTGTAATTCTGAAAATAATTATTTTAGGATTGTTAAACATTGACATTTTTGTAACTATTTATTACGGTGATATTCATATGTTATTTTAACTTCAATTACTGAATAATTTTCTCTTTAATTTGTGTAATAAATCATATAACTTATTATAGCAGAAAAAAACGTAAATTAGTATGTTGTTTATTTCTTTGAATATCACCGTAATAAATAGTTACAAAAATGTCAATGTTTAACAATCCTAAAATAATTATTTTCAGAGTTACAATCAAAAATCTGAAATTCGAGAGCATTTTTTTTTCTAATTTTTTTTTTTTTTGATTGGCTGTAACTTGGTCAATTTTGGACTTAGAAAGTTGATTCAACTACCAAAATTCATTGAAAAAATAGGCAAAAAATAATTAGTGGTTAAAGCAGGGGGTTGCCATTTAAAAAAAAAAAGTTGACATGCGCATGCGCGTGACTAGTTAAGTAAAAAAAATTCAAAGACCATAAAAATGGGTATTTTTATGTCATAACAACTGCCAAAAAAACGGAATTCAAATAGCAGGTCTCTACGCAAAGATATTGAGTGTTCTCAATTACCGTTTACACACTGTATATTATTAAAAAAGAATACAAACTTTTGCCCTAATATTATTATTCCCCGGTAGTAAAGCATCGTTGAAATTGTGCTTTCCTATTTCTTCACCATTTCCATCAAAAACAGTAGATAATACAAACTTGCAGCCACAAACAAAATGACCATGTTCATACCTGCAGGTAATTTTAATTTATTATTTGATGTATAAAAAAATATCCCAAATGTATGTATTACCATTCACTAACTGAAATTTCAGGTTGAAGAGTTTTCATCACAGTATCATTCAAACCATAATTTTTGAATGTAATTCTTTGACTTTTTGAACATAATCGAAACATTGAATTAATCCCTGTATTTAATATGAAAATTATTATGGGTATTTGAACACTAAATAATTTTGAGTTCTGATCAGAACTGAGGTTATTTTACAATTTATCAACTTACGAGGGTCCGTCACTAAATTTTTATTGAATGGATCATATTTGCTTATAACATAAAACACGTACCATGGCAATTCTAGTTTTCTGACACTATTTGAATCAATTTGGGAAAAACTGTCATACCCTTGACCGTCATTCACAAATTCATTTTCTCGTGAAGCTTTTTCTTGAAAAACATATGCATCTATAAGTTCTCGCCATCTTTTGCACACAAGTCTGCAATTCAAAAGGGTGTCTGCATCGATAAGGCTTAATGTGTTTAAAACCATTTCATCCGGTAGTAAATCAAAAGAGTTATGAGAGTTTTTGAATACTTCCATCATTATCAATTTAATAATCAATAATATGTTGACAACTTTGACATAGAAAGAAACAAATATAATATACTAACTTTGTATATTAAACTATATAGTTAAACAATAAACGAATAAACTTTATCAAAAAACCATGATTTAAAATTTTAAAAGCCAACTGTATGCATTACAATCAACAATTTGCATGCGTCCATTACGTCCTTATCCGTGTAAACATCAGTGTTAACATTTATGAAACCGTAAAAATGTACACACTGTAGATCTTAGGTGTCATGGCCGACTGATTCTCTATTATCGGCCCGCCGCCCAAAATTAGTGTCCACTCCCTTCGGTTAGTCTCCGATTCTTTCCGCCGGGCTCGCGCGATCGAATAAGGAAGAGCCAATGAAAAACTTCCGTCGCCGCTGTCGCGTTATCACCTATATTCTTATCATTTCGCGGATTTTTGAAATGTTTGAAAATATAGCTTTTTTTACACGATTTTGATCATTTTCGAGCCTCTTCGCCCTTTTTTATACTCGAATCGCCTAGCTCGCGATCTCTCGAAGCCGCCGGTGTGCGGTTGTTTTCTCCGACCGTTTCGTCTTTTCGTACGCTCTCCATGCCCGAGTCGTGTATTTAACGTCTTTTTAAAGCCGTCTATATGCGCTTTTCCTTCGAAATCGGTCCGTTCGCCTCGCAATCGCATTTCGAAATGACGCCGGCGACCAACCGACCGTACGCGTATATATACATCATACATGTATATACGTGTATAATTTAATTTTTGCCCATGATTTAATAATTATTAACGGAAAACGCTTTTCACACGCCCCGTTAAATATATATATTTATGGGAGATTCGCGTATTACAAGCGAATTATATACGATTACGTCGATGTACATCGAACATATCGGTTTACGTCGTTCCGTAGACGCACAGCTTAAGTGTTGATGTTTTTACCGCATATCACAACATAATATGTGGCTAAGTGGGCAGGTAGGTCGAAGGTAAATCCCGGTTTCGATTTCGTCGTACGCTCACCGGGCGGCGAATCGTCGTCTGTGCCGTAGGTTTACATATCCGCCCGAAACTCGACTTATTTTGCATTTTCTTACGTAATTATAACAAATTTCCGATATTTTCTCTTTATTATTATTAATATTATATTCAACTAATACATTTATTTTGTGTATGTAGGTACATATTGTTGAATTTTTTTTTAAATTATTCTACCATATTTCATTAATTGTACCTATCATAGGTACATGGATTTTTCTTCATATGTAAACATTTTTTAAATTATTATTTAACGACAATACAACATTAGGGCTGCGCGGTTATTTTATATAATCGATTATTATAATCGATTAATCGATTAATCGATTATTTTCTGTCCATTAAAAATAATCGATATAATCGAAGTTTCGATTAGTTAATTATTAATCGATTATAATCAAGTCGATTATTAATCGATTATAATCAAGTCGCGATTATAATCAAGTCGATTATTAATCGATTATAATCAAGTCGATTATTAATCGATTATAATCAAGTCGATTATTAATCGATTATAATAAAATTCGGTTAATGAAAAAAGAACCGATTATAATTGAAAATTAATTATAGCCGAGACATTATTTATAAATTACATTATTTTATAAATTTACTATGTAGTACCTATTATTCTAGTATTTACTAAGATAATCTTTCATTGTTATTTCTGTTCTAGAATAGTAAATAAATTATACATTAAAAAAGTTTTACAATTTTTTCTAGGAACAGCAAAATAAATTAACAATTTTAAAATTAATATTACCTACTCATTAAACATACTTATTACTTATAGACTATGGTTGGAAAGTTATGGACTTATAGTGACCAGATACAATGTCCTAAACAATAGGACTTAATAGTTAAGTACATGGTATTGTACTCTTTTTTTTGGAAAACGTTATAGGTTAATACATGTCAATTATTTTTTCTATGCTTTGAATATTTATTTATGTATTATGGTTTGACCTAATGCATATTAATACAAAATTATATTTCAACTTTGTCAGATTAGTATGAACCACATTTTTTGCTCACATAAATCAAATTTAAAACTTTAAAATCAGAAAGTTATCTGTTATTGAAAGTAGTGGATCTCAGAAATATAATTCAGTTTTTTAGTATGTTAAAATTAAAAAATATAGGTAACTGAGATTACTTTTTGATCATATAGGAAAAATGTTATTGTTTTTATAAATTTAAATGTTTTGGTTTTATTATACAATTCAAATACTGTCAAAGTTAAACATTTAGGAAATATATTAATAATGATTTGTACTTAATGTTTTATTTTTTCAATAATAATAAGCAATAGCCAATAGGTAGGTACATTAAAATATATAGGTATTTTGAATCTATTAACTTTCAAAGTATTTTCCCTAATAAGTTGACATTACAGTGAAATTATTATTTCAAATTACAATTTTTATAGTTACCTAATAATAGGAATAGAAATATTTAACAAAATAATCATAAAAAAAAAAACAATTTATGTGGCTCTAGCCTCTACAAAACGTGCATACTATTGTCTATTACCATAGTTTAAAAATTGTATTGATTATAATTTTGTTTTATGTACCTACCGATTAATATCATTTATAATGTATTTATAAATAATAACCGATTATAGAATACGTACCGATTAATATCGATTATAATTTATGAGTAAATATTAACCGATTATAATTTAAGTATCGATTATAATCGATTATAATTTGTTGACTGATAATTATCGATCATAATTTATGTGTAAAAAAAATAACCGATTATACCGATTATAATCGAAATAATTTCCTACATATCGATTATATGCAAATAAAATAATCGCGCAGCCCTATACAACATAAAGCGTTTAGCATTTAATGATATTATGTTGGTTAATATTGTTAATATTACATTATATGAATTTCTATAATATGTACGATGTACCTATTGACTACCTTTTATTGAATGGGCTAAAATCTACTTTACCAACCCCCTCACGATTTTCAAAATTTTTTTTTTCAAAAGACTTGTTTTTTTTGCTTAAAACGATGGTGTAATTTTTTTTTCCCGGAAACTATTATTTTAGAAGTTATAGCCTTCCAAAGTTTACGATTTTACGTTTATGCGCATGCGCGCAACGCTACTTGACTGCCAAGCGCGCCTATAACAAATTTTTTTTTTACGTATTTTAACAAGTTTTGGGACATAGTCAGTCTTGGGTAAGTAATATTGTGAATCACGTCATTATTATGGTGAAATATAAACTATAGTTGAGTACCTAATTAGACTAGGTATATTAGCCCAATTAAAATAAATAATAAATAAATAGCGAGTGACCCCGCTCGGTGACTCGGTGCACCAAAAATGCAATTTTCTTAACCCTGTGACCCACTTGGGGAGGTGTTGCACAGCAAGTCGGGGGATATTTTCGATTTGCGGAGCGGAGCGACGGCGCCGAGGAGCGTAGCGACGAGTGCCGCTAGCACCGCATCACTGTACGATGTTTTTTCAAATTGGTGCCTCGGTGCAACAAAAATGATATTTTCTCAACCCTGTAACCCACTTGGGGAGGTGTTGCACAGCAAGTCGGGGGATAAATTATTATTGTACCATCGTTTTAAACAGGTTAGAATACGTAAGTACAAAAAAATAACAAAAATAGTCCTCCGCGTGGCATTATAGTAGTGTTGCGCGCATGCGCATAAACGTCAAATCGCAAACTTTGGAAGGCTATAACTTCTAAAATAATAGTTTCCGGGAAAAAAAAATTACACCACCGTTTTAAGCATAAAAAAACAAGTCTTTTGAAAAAAAAAATTTTGAAAATCGTGAGGGGGTTGGTAAAGTAGATTTGTTCCATATTTTTTATAAGCGTAGAGCGACTAGCGAAAAGTCACACTTATGATTAGTTATTTTATCACTGTCAACAAATTAATTTAATTATTTTTATCAAAAACACCCATCTAGGTAATAATTGGTAGGCATTTTATAGGTATACTGTACACATGTACAATATTTACTTAAAACCATATTAGGTATATATTAAGATCATTATTATAGTATACAATATTATGTACTTACACGTTTTGTTATGCAGCTCTCCAAACTATTAACTTAGGCACGTGATTACGTATAAGTCGTGTAATTATTAACTTTTAAAACTTAAAATTATAATAAACATGTAGGTATATACTATATAGCCATATGGTGTGTAGCTGTGTAGGTCCCAAGTTCAGTATTTGATCCGAATATCTTGTGTAATGGTGTATTAATATTAAATATTCATGTGACAATATTAGTGTGTTGCAACTTGCAGCAGTGCATACTGCATAGTGCATAACCATAGACATGAATACTGCCATAACTGAATTTCTGCATAGTGCATAGTGCATACCATGGCTTAAATATTTAAGCCATGGTGCATAGTGCATACCATAGACATATTATTAACTAAGTTAATTTGTCTATGGTGCATACGCTGCGCGCGCGGTCTGCGCCCTGTGTTAGAGTGAGGTCACACGAGCGTTTTATTAACGGACGTTACGACGGACGTCATGAAGTCCGTTGTTGAAATTCATTACAATCATACCTAGCAGCCACACATACGACGTCCGTTGGATTTACCGTCCGTTCGACGTTGGCGTTAGTTGTTTTCTGTATTGTCATTTGTCACTTTATCTATGGGAATTGGTTGGGTGCGCGAGGACTGAGGAGCAGTGTTGAGTTTATCTAGATAAATTATCTAGATAAATATTCTTTTATCTTTTATCTTATCTAGATAAATAGAGAATATTAATTAACACACTTATCTAAGATAAAAATCACCATTATCTAGATGAATTTATCTAGATAATTTAATTTATTAAACGGGTTTTATTTATCATAGAATATAGGTAGACAATTATAAGTAATAAGCAGGTAGTATTTACTAATAACTAATAACTATTGACATTTTCGATAACATACTATTAAGTTATTCTACATTGCTACG